TTAACATCCTGAAGGTAAGTGTCTGCCTTGAAGTTGGGGGTTCCGATTCCAGGTAGATTCCACAGCCGGACACTGGGATACTTTGGGTGGGGGTAACATTTAGCATCCATGGTAGTCTCCACTACACCAGTGGGGGCTGAGTTGATTCCATCATCATCCCCAATCCCTCGGAAAGCGTTAACAAAGGTGGACTTCCCAGAACCGGACTCTCCAGTGATAGCAATGTTCAGAGTAGTGTGATCTAGTAGGTTAAAATATTCTTGAATCTTTTCAGCTGCTGTAGCCAAGGTGCTGTTCTCCAGTGCCTCGCTGATATCTTTAGCTTCCTCATCAGTAATTATGTCATATTTTTCATCCATAGTGTTATGACAGATATTCAGGGACCCAAATGCGGTACAAGGAGCGTTTATTAAGGAGACAGGCAAGCTGAAATGGATCTTGTTTCTTGGTCGGGGTAATGGAGCTGAAGAAGTCGTAAGCCGGGAAAGTCAATCCTAAAGGAATATGAAGGACAGAAGGTTACCACACTGGGGAGGTCTGAAGAGATGGGGACGTGGTAGGACTGAGGCTCAGAAGGAAGGACAGGTCAAAGCAAGACAAAGGAGACGAGAGAAGCGCTCAGTAAGTGACATTAGATTAATAATACCTCACATTGAATGCAAGGTTGAGTGAGCTTTTCTAGCTAAGAGTTCAGGTGTTGTCACTTTGGGGCAACTGATTAAGCCGCATCTGCACATGGGACGTGACATAGCTGATTTTAACAAAAACAATACAGTGTCATATAGCACACATTTCGATGTTCTTCTGTATAATGCATCTCTTTCAGTTCTGTGATTCATATCATTAATGAATGTATGTTTTGTGAATACATGCGCGGTGGCAGATGTTCCGGATAGATGTGCATAATCGAGTACTTTTTTCTATATATCTTAGCCTGCATATGCATAGGCAAGGATTATCTAATGTCTTTCACATATAGTATAGTGTAGAACGTTTTAAACACAATGTCTTTGGTATACTCAGCAGTTAAACTAACAACAAATTTCAGTACAAATAGTAAAAATTCAGGAAAGAATTTCAGCAATCCCAAAACTACCATACAACAATGAGATCATCAGACTATGATGTAAATATTATGCATTATTGAAATATATCTGCTCAGTGTAGTGTGGAATGTCCTTGATCTTAAGGGTTCTGTGTCTGAGAGAAGTGAATTCCTCATTACATAACATGATCATATTGCCTGACAGGCTAGTAAATTTGGATTGTACCACCCACACAAGAGGGAGACGTAAAGAAATGTGTGTTATTAACACAAGGACATATATTTTTTATTTGTATTATTTATCTATTTGCTTTCTGAAAATGTTTCTTTCTTGTTTGCATAAGCTTATATTGAAATAAAATTGTCATGAACTTGGGCAGTTCTGGAGCGAGGGTGAGGCATCATGCAGGCGGGCACAGAATGTGGACGACCCACAGGACGAACGTGGTTTATTAACAGAAAACACTAGGAACACTACAATAACAAAATGGACCACGAGGGGTCAAAAGTAAAAGGGGGCGG